CTGTGCTCTCTCAGCCCCTGCATATATTACCTGTGGTGGTGCTTGGGAGACCATAATGGATGCTGGGAATTGAACCCAGGTCTGCTGTGTGCAAGGCAAATACTGTACCTGCTGTACTATCCCTCCAGTCCCCATAATAACCATTTTTATATTTTGTTTTGCAGTGGTAGCGATGTAAGCAAGGCATTTGTTTTACCGTTGAGGCACAACTCTGGACTCCCTACACTAATTTTTTTATTAGAAAGTTTATTGGATAGTAGAAGGGAAAGGGAAAGGGAAAGAAATTCTCCAACCATAGAGACACTCAGTATAGGATTAAGTTTAATAATTATTTTAAAGTACCCTAAAGAAGTGTTCTCTCCCCAGTCAAGTGACACAGTATCTGGAGGTACGGTGTGGTCAGGTCTCCTGGAGATGCCAGTTGGGCACCCCTACCATGGGAGCTGCCTCTTAGGCAAGGAGGGTAGAGGGTGTCAAGAACTCCATAGTTTTCTTTAACCCTGAGAAGGAAGATAAGGACTCAGGTGCAATTGGGCCAGGCATGAAGGTCTCCAAGGGTCTCATGTCTCTTTTCTGATTGAGTTTCTGCCTCTCTGCACTCAGTTTGATGTAGGCAGGCAGGAAGATAGGGAAGGCCCCCTCCTAAGGCAATGGCAAAGGCTGACCTTGCAGAAAACAGGAAAAAAACAGGAACTAAAGTCTGATAAGACCCTCACCTATCTACAGCAACAGACTCAGAGAAGGTCCTGCAGAAACAAAAGGCCAGGAAAGTAATTTCAAAGAAGACCATCACCAACCCAACCCTATCCCCCTTGGTAACCTCCTTAGCAATGGACTTCGACCTAGGTAGAAGCCCCACGTGGGGGTAGGTTGGAGAAATCCTATAAAAGCCAAATGGAACAAAGAAAGGGCGCCATATGCTTCCTGAGCCCAGGTGCTGCTTGTGCCCACATGGCTGAGCACATGTGGTGCCTGAGCACATGTGTCGCCCACATCTCTCCTCTTGTGTACTTTTGTGCTTTCATGCCTAATGCTAGGATGTGTTGGAGAAACCCAGGTTCTCTTTTGAGCATGTTACTCTCCATTCTATCTCACTTTCCCTTCCTCCTTTAAAAAAACTCCAAATAAAATCTGTTTTATTTCACTGCTTGTCTACTCCTGAAATTCTTTTCTGTGAGGTGAGACAAAAACCCAGTAACCCTGAGTCCTGGGTGGCATAGGTGGATGGGAAAAAAATGATCATTTTTCTCCTCTCCGCTTCACATAAGCCACATGTGGGGCCCACCCACATCAGTTTCTATCCCTCTCTGGTGTTCTAGACCCTGGGAGACTAACTAGCTGAGGTGCACATCCAGGACCTCACTTGGTACACGCTAGAACCTGGCTCTGATCTACAGTTGCAACAGTGCCTTGGCCTCCAGCAGGTGCACTCAGGCAAGAGATGTGGTCAGCACCCAAATCATGGGGTCTGTCCTTGAGAAACTGCAGGGCCATAGAGATACTACAGGGGCAAGGCACTTGCCCTTGTATGCAGCAGACCAGTTTCATTCCTGGCACCATATGTGGTCAGTTCCCTGAGCACCACCAGGAATGGTCTCTGAACACAGAGCCAGAAGTAATCCTTGAGCACTACTGGTGTGGCTCCAAAGCAACAAACAAACAAACAAACAAAACCCAAAACAGACAAAACACTAAGCTCAAAGCAGCCTTCTATAGAACACATAAGCCGATTCCTTTTTTGGCAGTTCTATAGTTTTTTTTAAAATTTTATTCTATTTCTATTTAGTAGTTCACAATATCTGATTGCATTTAATATTCGAAAACTAATCCCACCACCATTACACTTTCCCACCACCCTATTTGGGATGTTTCCATCCTGAACCACAACCCCTGCCCCAAAACAGAACCAAAATAATTTATTTTGTATTGTTTGTTGGGCTGGAGTGATAGCACAGCAGGTAGGGCGTTTGCCTTGCACGCAGCCAACATGGCCGACCCGAGTTCAATTCCTCCACCCCTCTGGGAGAGCCCGGTAAGCTACTGAGAGTATCTCACCTGCATGGCAAAGCCTGGCAAGCTACCCCTGACATATTCGATATGCCAAACATAGTAACAATTGTCACGATGGAGATGTTACTGGGCCCATTCGATTGTTTGCTATGAATAAACTGCTGAAAATGCTCCAAAAAATTTCCTTAGAGGAAAATGTCTGAAGGTTTTTGTATTTCACCCAGGGGTCATTAAGCCCTTCTATAACATTTACATAAAATGTTTTAAAGGTGTTTTAAATGAGCCTTGTGTGCTTATATATTTTTTATATATGTGTGTGTGTATATATATCTGTAAAATAGATTTCCCTCTAAGATTGGTTGCCTTCTACTTTAAACCCCATCAAACGTGATGCGCAACTCTTGGAATATTATTGTTGTGAGGTATTAGTGGTTGAGTTGCCACAAATGCGCCCGCTTGGTCCAGGAATAGGTTCATTAGTGGGTGAGGCTTGGCCTGAGGATGTGGAGAGCGGCCGTGAGCATGGTGGCAGTTGAGTTCTGGAGGTTTCTGGCTGCTGGGGCTGGGTCCCTTGGGACTGAAAGGGGCCTCACCCGCCCCCCTCTGGGGTGCCCTGGTTGAAACAGCCTGCCATGGGGTCCGGCAGCATGGCTATAGTGAGTCTTTTTATGCTTTCTTCTGACAGAGGACAATGTGTGTCTAGATCATGGCATAGTTTTACAGTTTTATTAACACAATATAATGCACCCAGTGACTGTCTATTCATTTTTTTCACTGTGCGGGCCAGCACAGTCAGGTTTGGTGACTCTGATGGACAACTGGGCTACTCTTTCCACAATTGCTTTGTGATTCTTGGAGGAAATGTTGTGGGCAATCTCAGTACAGTAAGATTAGTTTCACATCAGCAGCACCTCAAGCTTCCTGACACTGTGAACCAGGAACTTCCAAAATCCACTGAGCAGAATTTGCTTTGTCTTCTTGTTGCTCCCATAACCCATGTTAGGCATCTAGATATGGTCCTTAAATCTTTAGCACACCCTGTTATTGATGCCTCTGAATTTCTGCCAACTCTGCTTAATCTTGACAGTTGTCAGAATGGTGCCTAATGAAATTCTTTGTGCTTTTTGATGATCTTGGGCTTCCCGAGGTGTCTGAGGGTGGCCAGGGTGCCATCTAGCAGGAGACAGCAGCCAACTCTGTAGGCAGTGCCAAGAAAGAGCCACAAGATGATTCTTGGAGTCACTTGGGAGGGTTGTGTGCAAATGTGTCTATTTCAGACCATAGACTTGAGTGCCCAAGTGGTTCCTGGATCTATGTGAATGCAGCCAGGTAAGGGTTTTCATTGTTAAAATAAATTCTACTGCCCACTCTTCAAACATATTTCCCTGGGCCTTCAGTGCCCTGAGCGAAGAGGAGAGCTGTACCTCCTGACCAAGGACTGGGAAAGATCCAGGCTGAACTTGGAGTCAGGTCAAGACAGAGGTCCTGGCTTCTTCAATGAGCTAGGTCGTTGACCTCTTTAGGAAATAAATCTCATCATCTTGTCAGCATCACAACCCTATACCATCTTCCTAACTCTGAGACATGCTCTGGATAAACGCTCTTGATCTCTGATGCCACAAGAAAACCGGTCAGAAAAAGTTCGTTCAGGCTAGATTGATAGTACAGCAGGTAAGGTTCTTGCTTTACACATGGCCACCCTGGGTTCAATCCCCAGCATCTCATATGTTTCTCTAAGCCAGCCAGGAATGATTCCTGAGCACAGAGCCAGGAGAGAGTCCTGAGGATTGCCAAGTGTGGGCCCCCAGCAACCCCACCCCTAGGAAAGGAAAGGGGAAAAAGAGAAAAATCTTGGTTCTGTAATGAACTTTCTTCCAGACTAATTTCATGCAAAGAATCTGCTGAGGAAAACATTAAAAATCTCCCTCTTCTCATTTTCGCATGCCCTTTATATCTATCTTGGAGCCCGCCAGGCTGATGTTGGCTGTGGCAAGTAGATCACATAGAAATTTGGAGAGGAAGAAATATATGCCCTTTTGTGAATCAGGCCAGAATATCATTAACGGCTAAATCTCAGTGGCCTGCTGCCCAGGAACAGCCACCTGAGCCTTTGAGGGAATCTGGGCCTCTGAGGAAAGTTCAGTCCCCAGGACCCCAGCTGGTAGGTATGGGAATGCCTGTGCTGTAACTTGTTGCTCTGAGAAGTTGAAACATCCGAGTTCTCTGCTGAGTGATAGAAGCGCCAATGTGATGGAAAAAGACTTTCCTTTTTCCCACTCATCCTCTGCAGCGCACTTTTACGCAACAGCATACTCCAGGGAGAGCAATGTGCGTCTCCCCCGTGTTAAGCCTCAGGCCAAGCTATCGCCCACTGGTTATTCAGAAAAATATTTTGAAGACAATGAGTGACCTTCATCTTGGTGATTTTAAAGATATCATAGTGAATGACAGAAGTATTTTTTCAAAGACTGGAATCAGACAGGCACTTCATTTTTTTTTTAAAGGAAATTTGGGCTGGCAATATGGCATAAAGCGCTGGAGTGCATGTTTGCATCTGGAAGACCAAAGACTCAATATCTGAGCACCACCAGAGTGACCCCAAGGCAATTAACCAAAAGAGGCCCTAGGCGTGACCCAAACTGTAGCACTGTAGCACTGTCCTCTCATTGTTCATTGATTTGTTCAAGCAGGCACCAGTAATGTCTCCATTGTGAGACTTGTTACTGTTTTTGGCATATCAAATACACCATGGTGAGCTTGTCAGGCTCTGCCGGTGACCCAAACACAAAATAAAAATATGGGTGGCCATACCCGGTGATACTCAAGGGTTATTCCTTGCTCTCCAGTTAGGAGTCATACCTAGAGGTGCTTGGGGTATCATATGAGACACCAGGGATTGAACCCAAGTTGACTCCTTGTAAGGCAAGCACCCTTGCCTGCTGTATTGTCACTCTGACTGTCCCCCTCCATTTTTAAAAGAGCATTTTATTTTAAATTTAGCATTCTTCATGAATTTTCATGTCACCCTTGCTTGGGGCTGTGTTAAATCATCTGTATCATTCCAATTTTAGTATATATGCTGCCAAAGCAAGCACAAAGGAAATTCTAGTACTTTCCAAGTGTAGGTATGTGTAGCAGTCCCAGAATGGTCCTGGAATTACCAGTTGGATATGTGATTCATGACCATTAAGAAAAGGAGATAGAGGCCAGCAGGAATCTGAATTAGTTCAGAAAGAATAGGTCACAATAAACCCACACCATGCTTTGTTCAAATTGCCTTGGGGCACTCAGTTAACACCTCAGAGGAATCTCATAGGTTAGAGCACTGGAAAAATTTCGTAAGGGTAGCAGCAAAATTAGGTGAAAGATGAATCGTTGAGTAATTTTTATTTAAAAACTGGATTGAGAGCCTGTAAGAGAGCTTCAAGGGCTGGAGAATATTCTTTGCACATGGAAGCCCTAGTTTAATTCCCTACACTGCCTGGGAGGGATCCCCCAGCATTGAGTCAGGAGTTGTGCCATAATGTGGCTCAAAAACATGAATCAAAGCCAAATCAAACAGAACTGAATGTATATTGTGGTGGAGAGTAGAACATTGTGTTCTTGCTTCCGATTATTGAAATAGAAAACTGTCCACCAAATCTAAAATAATCCAAAATTTTTAGGGAAAGCTACTACCTAGATGATCAAATGCACCAACCTCTTGATGGGTCCTAGAAAGATGGGCTGGGATCAGTGAGTCAAATGTCAACCAGGATGAATATCACTGAATTTAGAATTTCAAATAGGGGAGAAACATCCTGGTAATCCATGTGAAAAGCTGGGCAGTTAAACAGGCCACACTGTTTTATGATTCAATAATAAGTATAAGAGCCAGGGACCACCTAGTGATGGAGCACCTGCCTTGCAAGTGTGAAGCTGTGAGTTTGGTTCCTGGCACAGGACCAACAGGCTTTTCAAGTCCAGTTGGGATAACTGGCACTACCAGTTAGGATAACTCATGCCACAAGCAAGTGTGTGTTACTTTGATTAAAGTGTGATGAATGATGATATCCCCAGGAATGCTAGTGCCACAGATTGAGGGTGTGTGACATCCAGACATTGCAGCAGCGACAACAAAATGGGGAAAGGCAAGAGGAAAGTGGTGCCTGCATTTTAAAAAACCAGAAACAGGAACAAACCTGAGAATATTGAAATGGATAAGGAGGGGTCTGGAAGCAAAGGAGATGGGAAAGAAATATTTAAGGGGATGTGTTAAAAAATTTACAACAAAAATGCCCAAAGAAAGACACATCATGAAATTTTTAAAAAATTCTATTTGCTGAGCATGGATCCCTGGAAAAACTGCCTGTGTTGCCAGAGTGAAGCCACAAGTTTGATTCCTGGTGCTGCCAGTGTGCGTGAATCCTGATCCCTGGGATCTTCTATCTGAGTCTCTTGGTACCTCAACGGAGGGTGCAAGCTCCAGAGCACAGCCAGGTGTGTGCAATGACCACCAGTAAAAGACATGGGAGAGCCTGTGTGGGTAGGTGTGCAATTCCTGAGACCACATGTGAGTACCAAATTGATCTCCAGTGAGCACTAGCATCAGAATGTGCACAACAGAGTGTGACCTGCAGTGAGCAAATGTAAAAATACCACATTGTCATCACAATAGCAATGAAAAGAAGGGATAAGGAAAGCAGGAAACAGTAAGGGGCAATAAAGTAAAAGATTCCTGCATCCACAATCCCCTCTAAGGGGCAGTTGTTTTGAAACAGAGATGAGACTTGGGAGAGACTGTTTAAGATATGTGCTGTCAAAGTTATGTAATATTAGTAATTTACAAAATTATTTACTATTTAAATAGCAGGAAGCTTTTCTGGGGTTCAGAGGTATTGATGGGGTGATATTTAGTTTCCTCATCACCAAAATGAAGACCTTGATCTGATGATCTTTAAGACAGGGCTTCTTAAATGTTTTCCATTCATAACTTCATTTTGCCCAAGAAACTTTTATGTGACTCCAGCACATAGGTATGCAAAGAAAACACTTATGGGACTGGAGAGAGAGTACTGTGGGTAGGGTGTTTGCCTTCCATGCAGCTGACCCAGATTCAATCCCTGGTATCCCCTACGGTCCCTTGAGCACTGCCAGGAGTAATTCCTGAGTGCAGAGCTAGGACTTACCCATGAACATTGCTGAGTGTGATCCCAAAACAAACAAAGTTTTATAGAGTCTAAGGGTAGAGTGGCAGGTAAACTAAGAAAATTTTTATAATTCCAAGTGTTCCCAAATATGACTACCAGTCAAGCGCCAAGTACATGATCATAGGCAGACCAATGCCTATCACTTTCAGTTTGACCAAAAGAACTTCTAAAATTTCAATTAATGATCTCCAGCCCCCAGAAAGACCCCATTGATTCAAACACCAGTTATTAAAAAACTTCACTTATTATGAAAGAATTATTATTTTTTTGTGCAATAAGATAATTTATATTGAAACTTGCTTAGAAAGATGTGAGCGGAGATAAAGAGGAGAAATATGTTCAAAAGAGAGCACATAGAGACAAGCAAGTGAGATATGTGCTCAAGGGAGAGATTGGGCTTGAAAAGCAAGCTGCTGAAAGAAAATCCTTATGAGCTAGACACACTAAAATAATTTCTTCCTTTATATGTTAAAAATATTACACATATAAAAAAAGGAAAAGTTACCAATTCTATGATCCTTTAAAGAGGAGAGTCCAGGGGCCACTGTTCATCAGGGAGAGTGCTTGCCTTGCATGTGACCAACCCAGGTTGGATCCCCTGTATCCTGAGCCTCACCAGGAGTGATTCCTGAGCTCAGAGTCAGGAGTAAGTCCTGAACATCACCGGGTGTGGCCCCAAATCAAACATGAAAAAAGAGAGCCCAATTAACTAAAGATGCTTACTACATACTTTGGAATTCCTAATCAAGCAATAGCAGTGCACATTTGGAAGATTTTAATTTCTATAGCAAATTTGTAGCTAAAGCAATATCACCCTGAAGTATGCCAGTGTTCATTAACTAACTGCACACTTAGCTGAATCATCACTTAATCACTTAATCACTTAACTTCCCGTTAGTCGTCGATTTGCTCGAGCGGGCGCCAGTAACGTCTCCATTTGTCCCTGTCGCGTGCTAGTGTAGCCCAATGGCATCTGTTCGCTCCGGGAACATGAAGGGCCTCAAACTGATCGTTCATGATCTTGACGAAGAAGTCTGACCATCTGGAAGGTGGGCGGCCACGCGGTCTTTTGACATCCCGTGGAATCCAGTCGGTAACAGCTCTAGTCCAGCGGTCGTCTTTAAATCTCATTATGTGACCAGCCCATCTGATTTTCGACACCTTGGCAAATGAGACAGCGTCCCTGATCCTTGATCGTCGACGGATGTCAGAACTCCGGATTCTTTCTCTCATTTGAGTGAAACGTGATATTCCAAGCATAGCTCTTTCTATTCTTCTTTGGGAGACCTGAATAGCGTTCTCATCTTGTTTGCATAGGGCCCAGGTCTCTGAGGCATATGTTAATGCAGGAAGAACAGTGGAATCAAAGAGATGTGCCCGGAGCCGGAGGTTCTTCGTCCTCTTAGCTATTTCTTCGACGTTCTTGAAGGCATTCCAAGCCGCTCTCTTCCTCCTGCGCAGCTCAGGTGCCAGGTCATTTGTCATGTTGACCTCTCGACCTAGGTACACATAGCTGTTGCATTCGGAGATGGTCGTTCCATTGAGAGCGAATGGGGCGTCAGGAACAAGGCTGTTTCTCATAAACATTGTCTTCGTAAGATTCAGCTGTAGTCCTACCTTTCCACACTCACGGTCAAAGTCGGCCAGCATTTGTGCCGCTTGGCTGATGTTTGGTGTTATTAAAACAATGTCATCAGCAAAGCGGAGGTGGTGTAATTGCCGACCATTTATCTTCACTCCCATTCCTCCTCATTCCAGTCGTCACGTTTTGTTCTTGAGGGTGGCACTGAAGAGTTTTGGTGAAATGGTATCACCCTGCCGAACCCCTCTCTTGACATCAATGATTAGTTCTTTGTAGAATGGTGAGATCCTGGTAGTGAATCCGTAATACAGCTCACGGAGGATCCTGATGTATTCAGTTTGAATGCCCTGATTGGCTAGGGCTTCAATGACCGCTTCCGTCTCAACAGAATCAAAGGCCTTCTTTAAATCAATGAACGTTAAACAGAGCGGCATCTTGAACTCCCGAGAAACCTCAATGAGCTTGGTTATTGTGTGGATATGGTCGATGGTGCTGAACCCTTTGCAGAACCCTGCTTGCTTGCATGATCGTCTGTACTTTCAATGCACGTACGCTAGCATCAGATGCATCCATCGAGGACCTGATGGTACAAGCACGAATGATCAAGTATGACATCATTGGTCTGACCGAGACAAGAAGGCATGAATCTCACCATGCCGTTTTTGACACTGGAGAAGAATTGTTCCTCGGAACATGCGATAAAAGAGGTGTTGGAGGCGTTGGTGTCCTTGTCAACACAAACTTGGTCAAGAGCATTGATTCATTCGAATGCCTAACAACCCGAATCGGACGTTTACATTTGAATAGATGTGGCTCACTGCCTGCAGTTTCTATCTTCGTTGTCTACGCACCAACATCTCATTATGATGAAAGAGAAATCGAGAAGTTTTACATGGAGCTAGAGAAGTTCTATAAAGAAGAGCACACCTTCTACAAGATCATTGTGGGTGATTTTAATGCCAAGATAGGACCGAGAAGATCAGCTGAAGAACTTCACATCGGGACCCATGGCCTAGAATGGAACGAACAGGGTGAGAGACTGTCTGAGTTCATCATGTCGACCAAGACCATTCATGGTAACTCACAGTTCCAGAAGGCAGAATCTAAACGATGGACATGGGAGTCTCCCGGTGGACGATTCCACAACGAAATAGACCACATCATATTCAATCGACGGTTTTGCCTGACCGATGTCGCTGTTGTCCCCAAATTTCGAACGGGATCGGACCACCGTCTCCTTCGTGCAAAATTCTACTTCACAGAGAGGGGAGAAAGGGCTGCAAAGTTCAAAAAGAGAACTCCCAGAATGACCACCAACTGGGAA